ATCTGTAGCCGCGCCCCCTCTGCGTGGCGCTTTGTGGGGCTGCCGGCCCGATGCCCAAAAGAGGTTTCAGGTTTTTTGCATAGGGGTTTAGGGTTTAGGATGTAGGGTTTAGGGTTGAGGGTTTGGGGCTTTAGTTGAGGGGTTTACGTAATTGTGGGGTTTGGTTCAGAGTTGAGGTTAAAGGGTTTGAGCTCAATTTTTTTGCCTATTGGTTTTTCAGATTCCTGTGTAGCCCCATTTGCATCCTTACATCCTTATAAAAACCCTCGGTTTGGGGCTTAGGGTATTTGTAGGGTTCAGGGTTTTGGGTTCNNTAGGGTGTAGGGTTTAGGGCCCCTTCTTGCTGTATGCAGCATATAGTTCGTGGCAGGACGGATCCCTCGAGCCCTGCGGATCCTTGAGATCAACTGCTTTTGACCCTTCCGGGGGGGAGCTGAGATCAAAAGATGAATTGGTAGAGGTGCTCTATGATTTCTATACCGTCCTCATGCAGCCTTCGACGCTGACGATACTAGCTAGACCCTTCAATCCGAAACCCAAAAGCTTCAAGCCCAGTACGCCCGTGCACCCAAAACCCGAAACTTAGGTTCAATGAAGAAGTGACAGCNNAGCGCCCGGGGCCAAGCTTCTCAGCTGTTGGGTTTCGGAGTTGAGAACTGAGAGTTTGACTCCATGCAACCACCCCTTTCCCCGCTCTCCCCTCGCCCCTCCCCCAACTTAAGCGCCACTATCACTTTCATCGTTGAGGAGGCTGGCCTGAGGCTTGTTACGATACGCTTGGATGCAGCATGTAACCTACGACTTCGAGTGTCCGTCGTCGTGAGCCACGGCATCAGTCCGCAAAAGGCTGGGGATTTTGCGTGTGCGTGTGTGATGTGGTTAGTGTTCATTTGAGTGATATTGTGTGTGTGTGTGTGCTTGTGTGTGTGTGTGTATATATATATATATATGCGTGTGTGTGTGTACGTACACATATCATTACAAACAAGTGTTCGCGGGTAACGGATGGATGCGCCGATCGATGGATGAATGGACGGATGGGTGGATGCAGGAGGGAGGGCGAGTATGGGGTTATGTTGGCGCGCGTGGGCTTGCCTGTGCCGGCCAGCCACCAGGTGGTTCGCACGAAAGATCAGCCATTACAGCCCAACTCCCGTGCCCATAAATGTCAGGGTTGACTGATCTTTCAGAGGTCCTTGGAGTCTTCAAGCCAACATCCGAAGCTCGAAGGTTTACACCTTGCAGCCTAAATCTCCGAACCCGATAACGATAACATCCTCCAGGACGCCAAGCTGCACTTCTTATGAAGCCATATACCTCTCCCCAGGCCCTAGCTGTTAAATCCTTCTAAACAGACCGAGCTTCCAAAAGGCCCGTCACTGATGGCGCTGCTGAGGGTGGCGCTCGTCGGTGTTGGGCCGGCCTCCTTTGAAGGGCTCCCTTGAGTTCGTAGTGCACAAAGGAGTAATCTAATGTCATATTATACGAACTTTGCAACTGTGTTGTGGCAATGGTTATCGGCGTAGTTTTGGGGTCTAGCGCTACGGGTTCTTCGGGCCTGAGCCACGGGGTTTCCACCTAAGCATCGGCACAGGGAGCCCAGACTTTCTGCCCTGACAGGTCTGGCTGTAGGGCTGCTTTTAGGATTCCTAGGCCCTGAAGCCTAAACCCTAAAACCCGAAACCCTCGACCGTACCGTAGCACCCTATGCTCGTGGTGTCCTTCTCGCAGCCACGTGGCTCGTGGAGAACCCAGACTCTGGGACGACCGGGGCTCGCCGCCGGACTGCACTTCATCTTGTGGTGAGCTGCTTTCTTGGGGGTTTAGGGCGAGGGTTAGCTTAGGGTTCTAAGAACCCTGAACCCTAAACTCCTACCAAAATGGCTACGGCTCAAGTGTCACCCCGGCTGCCGCCTGGCTCGCTCTTCATGGCCGCTGACAGCAGAGGTGCCGCTTTTGCTGACTGTTCCAGGCCAGACTGGAGGGCCTCAGACGGGCACGCCTGGTTGGGGGGGGGATGACACCGCTGCTGCCGTGACGGGATTTCCGTCTGGAGGTGGTGTGCGGAGAGATCCGATCCTGGACGCAGCTCGCAGCTCGGGCAGCTGCCAGTGTGTCCAGCATCCAACTTCGAGGGGTTCACACGCGGTGCTTATTCCCTGGCCCGGCCCGCCCTCTGCTGCAGATCGGAAAGCTCCAGCCTGCAAAGCAGGCGGCTCCGAGATGGCTTAAGGTGTAACATGATGTCTCGTACTAGCTGCTTCGCTGGACCACGTACGCCAGCCCGGTAGAGTTGTCCAAGCCATAGACAGAACTCCTTGAAACTTTGATTCGAGGCTATTGGCCCATCACGAGAGTTCCGGCCAATGAGGGAGAACGAAGTCGCAACTTCCAATGGGGGAGGCAATTTAGTGAAGTTGTCGTGGAGTGCATGGAGTTGGCACTTGCTCAACCCATTGCGGACGATGATGTCAACGAGCTTTTGACAACGTCTTCAGCGTCTGCGGTGGGCTTCGTGGATGCGTCGGGGTGTGCCAGCTCCTCTACGGACCTACCGTGACCTACCCTTTATTATTGGCATTCCGCCGGTGCATGAGAGACCTTCTTCGTCAGCTAGCATGCGGTCCCGCAATGTGAGACGGTCCTCCTCTTCCTATTCGTCTGCCTCTTGTCATACAAGTGATTGTGTACAAGACTCTGACGGCAAGTGGATTAATGTCGAAGTCAATCATGGACCTGGACCATACGACCCGCCGCCTCCACAATCGGTCCTTAATGTACCACTCCCGGAGTCCGCGGTGACCTCAACTGCTGTGGCACAGATTCGCTGCGACGCTGGATGGACAAATTGATCCTTTGGACCTTCGCGGAATTTCGCGCAAACCGGACCCTGAAGGTGAAAATGGATCATCCTCGACGACTACATCTACGACTACGTTCACATTTACAGGGGTGGCTTCGCCTTTTATGTGGGAAGGTTTGGCAATGTCACCCGTTGACGACTCGCAGCTGGGTGATTCAGTGTGACTCATTCAGGGTCGGTTTCGCGACGTCGCCGTGCTCGGCCTTCGGAGCGAGTTCGTCAAGAAGTGGATACCCAAATGCAACAAGGGACAAGCGTAGACTACAAAGACCTCGTCTGACGCAGATCCACATGATGTGGGGCGATGGAGAGATGGGCCCATCTTCCTTCTGCAAGTCAATGATGACTGGCCGGTGTCCAACTTGCCGGGCGGTTGCTCTCCTCCTGAAGATCCGCCGCAAGCCTGTGGGAGTCAAGCTGTTGCATGTCGTCGTCGTCACGCCTTGACGAGTCCCTCATGAACCAGAATATCCCCATCTCAGGGAGCCGAGCGCAATCGAGATGTTCCAAGGGCCTCTCGGGCCTCTGGGCTTGATTTTGCCCTAACATTGTCAACAACTGGAGTTTGGTGTGGTTGGTCAAGGTGCTGTACGTGCTCTGAGTGACCCTGGCCAAGCAGGTGATGTTCGCCCTGGGGTTTCTTCCGTGGGTCGTCGATTACCAGGGCGGTGGGTCAGAAGGCGGCACACTGTCGTGCCGGGCCGGAACAGAGGAAACCTGATGGTTCTGAAAGTGATGCTTCAGCTCTATTGGCTCTATTTGGGAGTAGCCCGCATGTTGTTTTCTGAACCCCCTGATTGGGCGAATGTGCTCGAAGAAGGTGGGAGTTCCTGTGACCATTTTACTGAGCTGGACGCTTCTGCAGAGTGAAAGGCCTAGCAGACTGAAAACAATCGTAAACCCGACACCCTTTAAACCCGAAGCCCTGAGCCCTAGACTTGGGTTTAGTTCTCCGAGGTCATATCTGGTGATTTCGCGTTCGGGTTCAGGCCCGGGTTCTTGTTCGCAAAGGCTCGCGGTGCAAAGTTTTGGTCTGCGACATGAGCCAATGGGTTCAGGATTCGGCTTGAGGGTTTCGGATTTAGGACCCGAAATGAAGCAATCCCGAAATGCAGCAATATACTCAAACTTTGCATCCCTTAACCCAAACACTCCGAAGCTTGTTTGTTGTTTGGGGGTTGGCACCTGCTGTGCAAGGACCGGGAGGCATCTGAGTCATTGGGCTCCAAAGTTTGGTTGATGGGTTTAGGGTTTTCTGAAATTTAGGGTATAGGGTTTAGGATTAGAAGTTAATTGAAGGGTAGGTTTTTGGATTTGGGGGATTGGTTCTGCGGTTTGCAGATTAGATCTAAGGGTATTGTGTAAAGAAGCAGCTTGCGTACGTGTCTCGCACTGCCACTACTACTTACTGCTGCTACTGCTGCTGCTACTACTATACTGCTTTTGCTGCTGCTACTACTGCTACTACTAAATCATGCAACATCGACATGTGTGTGGTGATACTGAAAAATGAAGGCAATTGCCGTTCTTCTGACGGTTACCTTTCTCTGTTGTGCAGTAATGTTTGTTCTAGCTTGAAATCTCATCACTTCTGCAAGGTCGAGATGTGGCGGTTGCTGCGCTGTAAACCTGCACTACCCCTGGCAGCCGTGCCACTTGCGCTAGCTGTGCGAAAGAAGGAGCGTCTTCTGCTGTGCTCCATGAACCGTTCGCTTAGGAATGCCAAGTCATCTTCCAGGTTTTGTTCCGATAATGTTCAGGCATCATGGCGACGAAGCTGCTGCATCTCTCCAGCTCTATGCCCACTGCAGTAAGGAAGAGTTCTGTACGCTACAAAAGCCATTGTAAATCGGCTTTGAGCAGCGGTGGATGACGGGGTTCTATAGTCAACCCGAAACCTTCCCCTACCGCCCCTACCTACGGGAAACTTCAGTTGTAATTTTGGGGAGGGCTGGGTAGCCTTCAAGTTTTCTTGGGACGGTGCCTGCGGGCGAACATACCAAGAAGGTAGAGGCCTCCAGCCTGACGCTCATACATGAGTTTCGTCTTCTTATTCTTTCTGGCACTCTCATAAATATGAGCTCCTGTTTGGAGTCTTCATGGCGATGGTCCGCGTCTGTATGCGTCCACCTTCCCATACAGTCGCATGTTCAAAAGATACCACCTTGCAGTTTGCAGTGTTACTATAGCCGACAGAAGCGCATCGGGAACATAGCTACAACTATCAGCAGACCATGAACATTCACAAAATACAGGTACGCATACATGCGCACGTATGCGAATGTATATAGTGCAACGTGTAGTGCAACCCGTGACCGGCAAGTAGGACTATATGTACGTGCACACATGCACGTCTGTGCATGCGTTTACATGACCTGCGAGTGTTCGTACACACATGCATGGCCTGCGCGTGCATGCTTTCTTACATGCATATAGTAGTCACAGTAAGACATGACGACACTCGTATTTATATACATATGTACGTACCTACCTAACTATGTATCGGCCAATCTGCATATCTACCTAACTACCCTCAGCTGACTATTTGTTTATCTATCTATCTATCTACCCGCCGATCTATCTATCTATCTATCTGTCTATCTATCTATCTATCTATCTATCTATCTATCTAAGCATCTACCTATCTATCTACCTATCTGTCTATCTATCTATCTATCTATCTAATTAACTATCTAAATAGCCACCTTTCAATCTAACCGAATCTCACCTAAATCCAACTTAACGTCATCTTACTTAAACTAATCTGGTCGAATCTAAACCGTCTTGTCTAGCCTAACCTGCCTATCCATCTATCTGCATATCTATCTATCAGTCTATTTATCTATGTATCTGTGTAGCTATCTGTCTATCTGTCTATTTATCTGCACACCTTCCTACCTGACCTACCTGACCATCTGTATGTACAGATCTATACAGATATGAACACAAACACAAACATGCACACATACACATGTATATAGGTATGCACACATGTAGATACAGATAGAGATATAGTCATAGACATTTATGTAAAGAAATAGAAAGGGATGGAAATAAAGATAAATATAGACATGGAGAAGGATATGTTTGCATGTAGGCACGCATGCAGCTGCTCGCCATCTCACAAACACAGACCAGTATCGTGGACAGATGTCCGCAGTTGTGCTTTCCTGTCCAAGCACAGACGTAGTGACTGGGCCACCAGCCCCAACAAATCCGGCTTAACCTTCACCAAAACCAAAAAGAAGTCGCCTCAAAAGGTTACTTAGGGTTCCTTTAAGGGTTACAATAACTTAGTAGCTGAATGGGCACCCTTTAAGCTTTTTGCGATAATCTGATCCCTTATAGAACCGAAAGTGTACACTTTTTGTGCTTATGAACTCAGCAGCTAAGATAAGGGTTTGAAGACCCCTGGAGGATGGCCAGCGATCGTACCAGCGGTGTCAGGAGAGGCTGAAGCGTCCGATTTCAATAAAGGGGTTCTGTAAGGGTTCCATAAGTGGTTGTTTAAGGCTTATAAATTAGTCAATTTGTCTGAAGTTTCCGGCTTTAGGTTATTGACTTCAAAGGCTAGTTTAGGAATTGAGGTTCCTTTTTGGGGTTTGGCGACGAGGGCTTCAGATCCAGAGTACTGGGCCTGAGCATTCAAGCTCGAACCTCTGAGCCCTAAACACTGCCGTAGAAAGCCAAAAAAGGCCCATATAAACTTGTTACCAAGCCATCGGAAGCCTTGACCAAATCTATCACAAAGGCCCCCGCAAGCAGTTTTTCAGAATATCCTTGTACACCCGGTGTGAAGTGTCACAAAGCCGGTACAACCCGCTGATGAAGCCTGTATGTTTTCTAGACCCCTAAACCTCTAAACCCCCAAAGCCCGTAACCCTAAACCAAAAGGAAGCCCCCACCCTCAATATCTGCGAGGAACAGGCTTCCCCGCAGTTCAAGCGCGTCCTCGTCACAGGAGGAGCCGGCTTCCTAGGCGCCCGCAAGGGGCCGAGGTTTGCAATATCCGGGTTTTGGGGGGTTTCAGGCTTTGGGATTCAGGGTTTAGGATTAGGGTGTGCGGATTTTAGGGGTTTAGGGGTTTAGGGTTTGCGGGTTTAGGGTTTTAGGATTTAGGGTGCAGGTTTTTAGGGTTTGGGGACCTTAATGATTGGAAGCGGCTTTGGATGGGATAGTGTTAGTCTTTCCGGAAAGAAGGCCGCACCAAGCACAGGTTCCTGAGTCACTAGGGTTTGGTTAAAGCTTGCCATGAGATGAGGGGCCCATTCCGAGCCCACCTAAAACGCTGCGCCAAAAACTGAACCCTAGCCCCTAACCCCCAACAAACCGAACTCCCAACCGCCTCGAAACCCTCAACCCTACACCCTAAAGTCCTCACAACCCTAGCCTTAACCGACTTAACCGCAAAACCACCAAAGCCTACACTCCAGGCTCCCACATCTGCCGGCGCCTGCTGGCCGAGGGGCACGAGGTCATGTGCCTGGACAACTACTTCACCTCCACTCGATCAGGCAGGACTTTCCCCCCCAGTGAAGTGACGTTTAAAGGGATTTGATGTCTAGGAGTTTAGGATCTTCGACCCTAAACCCTAAACCCAAAACCCGGGTTTTAAACTTTTTTCAGGGTTTGGGTTTCGGATTGCTTTTGGAGCAGCAGCTGCAGCTGCCAGTCGCTTTATGGTTTTTTTTTGGGGGGTCCTTTTTCTCCAAAGAGCCGATGCCAGGGGTCTCCAGCCTTCAGGCCATGCCTGCTGCTAGGGTTGAGGGTTTAGGGTTTAGGGTTTACGGCTTTAGGGTTTGGGGTTTAGGGTTTTAGGGTTTAGAGTTTAGGGTTTAGGCTTTAGGGTTTAGGGCCAAAGGCATTCAAGAGTGCTTCGGCGACATTGTCTGATCAGCGGCTGAGTCTAAACCTGAGCCCTAGACTCTAAGCACTGTTCGGGAGGAGGGTTTTGGAGTTGAGGACTTCGCACGCAAAGTTTGGGCCGCGACACCCTAAACCCTAAGCAGTCACCCTAAACCTCTAAACCCCCTAAGCCCCGTAACCCTATAAGCCCTAAGCCCTAAACCCTTCTGATCCAGCTCCAGCGTGGACTCCCCGGATTGATCATGGAAGTGTCTCTTCTCGTCAATTCAAGGACGTCCGCCTCCGCGGGACGATGCAGACTCGATTACTGCTGGGGGACTCCTTCTTCGCGACGTCTGCACTATCGACACGTGCGAGATGTTCTCCGCCTGGTGCCAGGTCAGTATTGTGACCACAGACACGGATACCTCTACGGACATGGATACGGCAATCTCCACATGCTAAACCCCATAATCCCTCGCAGTTACCCTTGTAGAAGCCCTGAGAGTAACTTTAATGGAACCCCTAAATGGACCATGTTAGCATGCCCTATAAAGCCTACACCCTACAACCCTAAATCCTTAACCCTAAAACCCTAGCATTCAAGATACACCCTACAACCCCTAGTGTAAAGCCCTATAAACCCTGAACAATAAATCCTGAAGTGCCATCAACCCCGTGGAGGCATCGCTGACCTCATGGGCCATCCGCGCTTCGAGCTTTCTGCCTCGCATGAGCATCTTTTGCGGGGCTTCAGGGCACCTTCAAGGTGCCTTTCAGGGTTCCTTTAAGGGATTCCATAAAGGGTTCTATAAGGGTTCCGGGTTTAGGGCGTGTGGGGCTGAAGGTGATTGTTTTGGTGTCAGGGGTCGTGTCCTAAGGCTTCAAGGCGAGATTATTGTTTTAGCGCTGTTTATGCCTTAATTATCGTTCAATTTCCAAGTTTTGTGTTCGGGATATGTGTTGGGGAACCGCATGCATAGGAAGGCTGTTCTACGTTCCGGTCCGATTGACTGCTTTAACTTAAACCCTAAACCCTACACCCCTAAACCTTAAAGCTCACGGTACACGAGGTTCGGCGCCACCTAAGCTCTGAAGACATGCCTTCTTGGAGGATCGGAGTGGACTTCGTAAGGGGGTTTGGATTCAAACATTTGCAGCCCTAAAATATACGGCAATATACTACTTTAACATACAATAACATACCATAATGCTATAGCCGTAATATAGACTATAGCCTTGTTTAACTTTATCGATCTTCCGATTGTCGAAGGAGGACTTGCGCTCAAGACACGAATCCCAGTGCTCAGGTTCATCCGCCACGATGTGACAGAGCCTTTCTTTTGCGAATGTGCAGCTCTGATGAAGACTTGGCTGTTCGCAAGTAGAGGTAGCAGTCGCAGTAGAGGTAGCAGGAATAGTTGTAGTAGAGGTATCAGAATTAGTAGCAACTTTAAGGTTGCGAAGAGCGAGAGCGCTTGTGCTACCGCCAGAAGTTGTACAGCCTGAATATCCGAGGACATGATCTACAACATGGCGTGCCCGGCGTCCCCAGTGCACTACCAGTGGAATCCCATCAAGACGACAAAGGCCTGCAAGGGCTAAGAATAGGGTTTGAAGAGTTAGCAACAGTATGAGTATCCCCAAATCTCTAATATCATTTATGGTAACATATATTCCAAACCACATTACGTTCATGTTGCTTGAACTTGAATCTTGCCGAAGACACCTTGCCATCTGTGTCATGTATCACTACCATGTCTATATACAACCTTTTCTTCTACATCCCTATAAAACCCTTACAAACCCTTGCAAAAATCCCTCGATGCCTCAACTTCTTGGGTTCTCCTTTGAGGAGTTGTTATGATGGATCTTCAGGGAATAGACTCACGCAGTCAGGGCGGGGTCAAGGCATTGGGAGTTGAAGTTTCCCTAAGCCCGACACCCGGAAGTTTGAACTAGCCTCTGAGGGGCCTGTTGGAGCCAGTGCTGAGGAGCTGTTGGTATTGGTGCAAGCAGTTCATGGTCTCAGTTCTGCAGGTGTCTTACCCAAGTTTCGCTACGTATTTCCAGTTTAGGCTTCAGGGTTTGGGGTTTAGGCTTTACCGGCACCCCTCAACTACCCTCTATTATACCCTAAGTACCAACTATTAATTGAGGACCGATAAGGGCTCTATTAAAGTATACTTGGGGGGTGCTGGTAGGGTTTCGGGTTCAGGTTTTAGGGTTGGTGTGGGACTCTGATGCCTCAACCTGCTCTCGAATGCAGGTATCGGTCTTGGGGACCATCCACATGATGGGACTTGCCAAGCGAGCTGCTTGGCCAGTCGCAAGAAGTGGCTGCGTGGTTGGGAGTTAGGATGTTGGGGATGAGGGTCATGCGCGAACTTGAAACACATACAAGACTCTAGAGCTAAATTTTCGTTTTTCGGGAATGAGCCCTGCGTGGTATGGGCGTTCAGGGTTCAGCGTCAAGCGTTCCAGGAATTGAGACAGATAGGATTTAGGGATTTAGATTGTCATGATGGCTATTTCCGTTACCTCATTTGACCAAAGCCCTCGGCGCTGAACGTGGCAACCGTCACGCCCCTCAACCAAGGGTCGGGTTTAAACATAGGCTCCGTAGTAGTTCCTTTTTGGGATTGCCTTATATAGGATTGTAAATATAAGCCACCACAAAAAGGAGCTACTTAGGAACTTATGGGTACTAGACTCGATCCTAAACCTCTCAGCCCCAAATGCCAGCGAGAATCCTACGCAAACAGAGCCGAAACCCCAAAGCCGAATGCGCCGTAAGCTCTAAACCATCAACGCTAAACTCAGCCCTACACCCTAAGCCCTTAAGCCCCTAAACCCGAAACTCCTAAACTCCAGTAAACCCCTAAACCCTAAACCCCTAAACCCTAAACCCTAAACCCCTAAACCCTAGACCCTAAAACCCGAAATCCTAAACCCAAGTAGACAGTAAACCCGAGCAGACTTGCAAAGAGAACGCTGCAGGTCAAGGCCCGGATCTTGCAGGCATCCACAAGCGAGATCTACGGCGATCCGGAGGCTTGGGACGGTCGGTTTTGGCTTCTGGGTTTGGGCTTTAGCTAGCGGTTTAGGGATGATGGTTTAGGGTACTGGGGCTTGGGGCAAAAGCGTTTCGGGCATTCAGGCTCGCATGGTTTATTGAAGTACTCGTACCTCTGCAAGGCTTCTTGAATTAAACGAAAGTAATAGGAGTTCCAGTTAACAGAGCTCTGCTTGTGACTTGCGTTGTGTCCTTTTGATTTTACAGGCCTTACGGAAAGGTGCACGGTAGAAGCGGAAGTTTCAAGTTTGATCAAGCACAGGAGTGCCATAAAGTCTATTGGGACCACTGCCGAAGCTCCCTTGTCGACCTCCAAACATCGAGAATCCCCAGCATTTCTGATGCTGGGGTCTTGTTTCAATCCTCTAGATCCATTTGCATCATGGCTTCGGGCCCACATCCACATCTGTCGCTCTGTCGCATAAACGGCATCAGACTTTGGGCATTCTATGCCCAAAACCCCCAACAAAGACCCTCAACCCGCAATTACCCGAACTTAAGAGTGGAGCTCATTGTGGAAAGGTCACACCCCAGTCTGAAGATTACTGGGGCCACGTGAATACCATCGGCGTCCGGCGCCTCTTCTCGGAGTCTTTTTGTGTGCTTTTGGAGCTACTGGCTTGAGAATCAACGCGACCGTATTCTTGATTTGGGTTTAGTTGGGTGTTACTAGTAGGGGAAGCTCTGGAACTGGCAACGTCTTAGTCGCTGCAGCTCTCGATGAAATAGAGTATCTCCCATTGACGGAGATGTTCAGTACGGTTTGAGTGTCTACGCTGCTGAGGCCTTGCACATGTCAGCAAAGGCAGACAAGAGGCAGCAGCCAGCCGAGCAAACCCCAAGCATCCCCAAGCCGATTTCTGCCGAAAAATCCATGGGCCAACGACAGCACGTGCGTGTTTTTGTCTTTAGCCATGAGGGCTTGGTCAACAGTTTCCACAGACATTAGGTCCTTCACCTAGGCCCTTAACCGGAAGTCGAAATCCCAAGCCTAAATCCACATTCCCTAAACCTAAACACCAACCCGAAAATCTCAACCCGTCGTCCTGAAAGACAGATTTGGCAACTCCGAAACCGACGATCAGAATCGTGCATGAAACCTAAGCCGTACGTGTACTCTCCCTCCAGGAAGACTCCTTCGTCTGTTAAGTTCTAAACCCTAAACCCTAATTTCTAGCAGTGGAGCAGTCTCAAGGATGGTGGAACAGAGCCGTTCGGGAGTAGAGTTTAGGATACCGGGTTGAAGCCACGGTTTCAGGTTTAGGGAGGTTTGGGATTTGGGAATTAGGTTCTATAGTGTTGAAATGGTCCGTTGACACCTCGAGGTCTTGCTATGACGAGGGCAAGCGGGTGACCGAGACGTTGGCGTTTGATTACCTGCGCATGAACAATGTCGACGCTGGCGCATAATTATTATCGACCGAATTTATGAAATCTCAGGGTTCTATACTATACCATACTACACTACACTATATAGTAAGTCTTTTCTAGCCGGACATGTTTTACGACGGTGGTTCCTCAGCCGGGCAATGGCTGATCAACGCCTATCCCCACTGCCGCAGTCAAACTGAACCTGATAGCCCCCGAAACCCGTCAATCCTAAACCCTAAAGCCTAAACCTAAACCCTAAACCCTGGATGAACCCTAAACCCTGAACTATAAACTCCGAACCCGAAACACCTGCGCCTGGGGCTTCCTGGAACTCGGATTTCGTCTCATCCGGCTCTGGCAAACTTTCGCTTCCCTCGGGATAGCGAAAAGCGATCATAGAGTACTAAGGGCTATGCGATTTGTTGTTGTATATGGGTACTACAAGGTGGCTGGTGTAAGGAACTATACAAGGGTTACCATAGAGGTATAGGGTACTGTTTCAGCATCACCACCGTCACCATAATTGCTCATGTCACAGTTGCCGTAACATGAACCTCCACCCGTGTCCTTCGTACCATGATCGCCATGACATCTTCATCGCGATGGGCATGACAGAGGGTCGGAGTAGTTCATCATGTTCTTTTTCGCTAAACCCTAAACCCTACCTGGGTGCCCTTTTTCAAAGCATCCTTCATCCCCGGTAGCGACAGAATAGGCCTCTGGAAGCCCCAAGGACATTCGCGTGGCAAGAATCTTCAACACCTACGGGCCCGGCGACGCGGACAAGATTTGGGGTTTTGGGGCTTAGGGTTCAGGGTTTAGGGTTTAGGGGGGCTTAGGGGATTTTGGTGAAATTTGGGGGTAGTCAACAAACTTCCAGACCAGCCTGACTCTAACCTACTGTACCAAGTTTCATCTAAGATGAGCAAAGGTAGAAATGACCGTATAGTGTTGGGATGTGTTGGGTTTATGGGAGCAAGCAGGCACGGTTGTGACAAGAGTCCGGCAGTGTAGGTGCTTGCATCGATCGAATACTGGGAGCAGTAGATTAGAAGCCTTGGCAATGCTTCTTTCTGTACATGAGGCAACAGCAGGAGGTTTCGTCATCACAGTCAATCTGAGACTGGTCTTAGTCAGTCAGAGTACTCCTAGCAGTAGTAATGATCAGGAGACTTACAGCATTACTCATCTTCGTGCTGCTGGTGCGTATCACGGAACGGTCGCAGCAAAGTAGAATTGACCACTCAGGCCGAGGCCACAGCTGTTACCACTTCCATGGCTTTACCAGAAACAACAGAGACAAGGTTACCAACAATCTCACGAACATCTGTAGACCAAGCAACTTCCAAAGAAAACGTGGCAACTTCAAACAAATTCAGACTTTATTGCTAGTAGATGGCATTTCCCGAAAAGCTCCGCTGTGCAGTCGTGCAGTTGGCAGAGCAGGAGGGGATCAATGGCAAACAGTGGATTCTTGAGAGGTAATACTGCTAGCAGAATCAACTGTATGCATGATTGTGTAGCTGGCAGAGTTTAGGCAGGAAGTGTCGTAGCAAAGACTGCAAAGAAACTGTTAGTGCAATCGCCAGAGTAAAGTTATTGTCGCCATGAGCAAGTTCATCATCATGTCATTAGCCTGCAGAACTGTCGTTACCATTATCCCCGATTTTTTGGCCACCATCATAAGCAATCACCACAGAGAGTGCTGTGACGATGATGTTCTTCGGCACAATCACACTGGTGGCTTTGTCGCACGCTGCATCCTTGGTCTGGAACTCCCGCAGCACAACCCTCAGCCCAGGCATGCACCCATACGACGGCCGAGCCTTGTCAGTATTCGGGTGGCGCAGGTACGGCTTTCCCTTTCTAAACTCAGTTGAAGCTCTGGCCAGCTGACCAAACAGCTAGCTAGCTGCCCATCTAGTCACATGTTGTGCAACCGTGTGTATGTAAGCCAAGATATTAATTCGCTTGTCCGGTGTTTGCACTGCTTGCATGCCTGGCTGAGCAAGAAAGCTAGTCTGGTAGTAAGTTCCAGCCAGTTAGGTTGGTACTACCTCGTTGCGTCGTCAGTCAGATAGAGAGTGAGATGGTGAGTATGCATTTGGCTGCGGTTCGGCTGGCTAGATAGCTGCCTTGCTGTCTTCCTGGCTATGCAGCATGACTATGATGGCGCACATAGTGCATCTTCTGACCCAATAGTATGGGGCTCTGAGCTAGATTGTAGAAGGTGCTGTTGTTCAAGTATGGAAAGCATGAATCCATTTTTCGCGCCCTTCGCGTGCAGTCGAAAGCAGACGCACACAGCAAAAAGGCAAACCCGAACGTCAGCGCACCGCCCTGAACAGGAGTGGTCAGCAACTTCATCTTGCAAGCCCTCCACGACGAGGATTCCGAGTGGGCTGTGAGCGGCTTGCGTGTGGTAGTTTCAGAAAGGCTTAGTATAGTAAAGAGCTCTTGGCCAGCGTCGAGGAGTTCAGACAATTCTTTGATTTATAAAAAATAGGATGTGGAACAGGATTTCGGGCAGGGTCATATTTCGGAATGCGATTTTAAGATGGGGAGAAATAGGATTTAAATAGGATGATAACAAAGCTTTTCGGAGGGTTCGGATCTCGGCATCGGAGGTAAGTGCGCTTTGGATGATGATTGAAAGTTACGTGCACATTGCTCGTGGGCCCAGGCGTGTGGCGCTAGGGCCGTTAGTCAGTCCAGGGCCCAAGTACAATGGGCTGGCGAAGCTCCGCGCAAAGGGGGGTGGGTGGAGCTTTCAGCTGGATTCGGGGAGGTGGGGGTGGTCCAAAGCGAGCTAAAAACTCCGCGCAAAAGGGGGATGGGTGGAGCATCCTGTCTCCATTGAGCAGAGAGCACTGCTAGATATCATGCTGTTGTCCATTCTACTGTGTTGTCTGCGTGTTCGGGATATGCCGTCATGTTTTCAGCAGTCAGTGGTCAAGATCGTCGTTTGCAGGCTGCAATGCCTTCTTTTTCTTATCAGCTGATTGTGTTTGCGTTCAAAATCTAGTCCAGCACGTGCGCGAATGTGTGTACGTTGTGATCTCCCCTCTAATTCGAACAGTCTTGCGTTAATTATGCGAGTTGTTGTGGTGTTGCTGCTGTCGTGAGTGTTCCATGGATGGTGCTGCTCATACCTGGGTTTTGCTCTTAATTGCTGTCCTATGTTTTTTCTTTTTTTTCCTACATTTTCATAGTTTTCCTATTGTGTATTTTCGTTCGTACGTTTTTCGTATCCATGATTCCTATTTTTCCTATTTCGATTATTTCCTGTGTTTTCTCATGGCTGGCTGACGCTTCCCTTTACTAGCTTAGTATATACAGTACATAACACATCGTATCTAAATATGTAATGTATAATGTGTATTATGTCCAATATTAGTATATGTATATATGTATGTATGTATGTTTGTATGTACGTAGGTAGGTAGGTAGGTAGGTAGGTAGGTAGGTAGGTAGGTATGTGTGCATACATACATACATACATACATACATACATACATACATGAATGAATACATGATGCGTAATCGGCAGTTCCAGGAAAGTTGTTCATCCCTCAGCCGGTTTAAGCGGACACTCACAGAACATCGTCGGGGCGGCGTCAATAGCAGCGTTCCCAGATGGCACAACCCCTTTGTAGTATTTTTATATATACCGTCGTCTACACTATACATTAGATTTTAGGGACGATGTATAGCTTCAAAAAGTGCCAGACAACCCTGGGCCAGCTCTGCAAGCTCCTTTCGAGCCCTCCTGAAGGCGGCGAAGACCCGTAATCGTAGCAATACAGATTTCGAAGCCACAATATTCAACCCTAAGCCCTAAACCGTAAGCCCTAAAGCCCTGCTCCGGGCCCCTATGGCTCATCTCTGAGGACATAGCCTCGCACCCAAGGGCCTTGCCTTAAGAGCACCGACCAGCTGTGAGGACATCACCATCTACGGCGACGGCTCGCAAACGCGGTCGTTTGGCTACGTGGATGACACGGTGGATGGCCTCATCCGGCTCATGAACCAGGCGGGCCTTCCCGCTGTTCTGTGCATTCCTTGCTTCTGTCAGAATAGTTGGTGGAGGTTTTTCGTAGTAACGTAGTATAGCTGATGTGCTCGTTCTTGAAGATTGTTTGGGACAAAGACGGCCATGGCAGCTGCTTTTTTCGGCATTACTCTTCTCGCGTCGGCCCCTACTGCGGTGGAGCTCTTTGGCTTCATGTTGACAGAGATCAGGAACAGTGTGCTGCTGCTGCTGCTGCTGCCAGGGATCCATGTACCTGGGGAAGACAGGGGCCATCTTGGCAGTTCTGTTGTGTCCTATACGACACTTTATCATAATTACTTTACTGTACTCTACCATACTCTACTATACTTCAAACTCTACTGTACTATACTGTACCATACTGTACTATACTGCGTCATGCCATGCTGTGATGTGATAGGCTGTGCTTTACTGCACTAGTACTAACAGGAATACTAGTACTACTCTAGTACCAAGACTAAGCCTAAGCCCAAGGTCAGACAATCTCAGCTTAAGGCTAAGATTCAGGAGTAAGACTGAAACTAGTTCAAACAGCAAGACCAAGACTAAGACTTAGACGAGTACTACTGGTACTGGTACTAGTGCGAAGACGAATACGCATACCAATACCAATGACAATACCGAGGACTAACATGACCACTAATCCTGAATCGAATACGAATACTGATACGAATCCTCATGCTAATGCTGATGCCCATACCACATTTTACTATAGTATAACCGCTGATCAACTTACGGCGTGCTTCTCAGAGGAGAAAACCATCGGGCCCATCAACATCGGAAACCCGAATGAGTTCACTGTCAAGGACAGGCAGGCTTTGGTAGTCCGGGCTCGGGTGCACTGGAGCAAATGGACCGGAGTCGCGAGACAGAGACAGAGAGAGTGAGGGAGAGAGAGAGAGCGAGCAGTGAACCCTAAACCCTAAACCCTGTGAGAGAGAGGAGTAGACTTCAGACGTCCGTCAGCGGCTGGAGGTCGAACCTCATGCCCAAACAAAATCGCAAGCATTCGCAGCGACCTTGCCCCGAAACCTCCCTGAACGCTAAATTTGATCCTCGAGTCTGCCGACCCAATATTAGCAGAGCAGGGCGGCTCATCAGCTGCGCAGGTTTAAGAAGCAGGGTTCAAGCGACAAAGCCCTAATATTGTGATCGAATCAATTGGTAACAATCTCCCCTCACAATCCCTAGAAATGGCCTACTCTGCTTACTAAAGGCCCCAATATACTCCCCAGATACTGTCTATTCTCAGGATACAGGCCTCTACAATCGTCTAAGTCCCCAGACTGCTGAAGCCACGATGGCGAGCTAAAGCCTAAACCCTAAACCCAAACCCGACAAACCCTACAAACCCTAAACCCCTAAACCCTACAAACCCTAAACCCTAGAAACCCCTAAACCCCGATGAAAAGCCCTATGGCGAGGAGCTCGCGGAAATGGTGGTCGAGCTGACCGGCTCCAAGAGCCCTTCTGAGCTGAAGTTAGGGGGAGGTTGTTCGGGGGGTCTTTTTGGGGGTCTTCGGGTTTAGGGTTTAGGGTTTGTGGTTCGGGGGAATTTAGGGTTTAGGGTTTAGGGTACCCCTGAAACCCTAAACCCGATCCTACAACCCTAAGGCCCTAAATCCCAAGCATGTCTAAGCCTCCTAAACCCTAAACCCTAAACCCTATAAACCCTAAACCCCTCTAAAAGCCCTAAGTCCTAAACCCTCTACCCTACAGCCCCGAGGCAAGATCGTGTACCTGCCCCTCCCGGGCGACGACCCAAAGCAGCGGCGACCCAACATCCGACGCGCAAAGGAGCTGTTGGACTGGGAGCCCAAGGTTCCATCGTGACAGCACATAAAGAACATAGTATTCTGGTTTAGGGGTTTAGGGGTTTATAGGGGTTTTAGGTTTTAATAGGGTTTTAATAGGGCTGTAATAGGGTTTTAATAGGGTTTTTGGAGTTTAGGGGTTTAGGGGTGTACCATTGGTCTCACCATAGCCAATAGCGGGGCAGCAGAAGGTCGATGGCAATGTGACATACAAACTCATGACAACATCAATGGTGATGGTGGTGATGATGGCGGTGGCGATGATAGGCCGGGTTATTGTAATTCACCCTATGGCAACCAGATAGCAACCGTGTATGGTATCCTGGTAACCAGAAAAGTAACCCCTATTCGCAAAAGCCATGTTCCCGGCATTTCACCCTCCCGTGCATGGAGGTGCAGCTGCGAGAAGGCTTGCAAAAGACGATTGAGTACTTCAAGGAGCGGCAGCGTGAGAGCGTGTGTTCATTTTCAGATGGGGCAGGTTTCGGGTCCTTACAGAGCGAGACCCCAAACCCTAAACCCGAAGTCCTCGAAACTAAAGGGTTTTCCAGCTAGGAGATGTTTGAGAGCTAACAGGCTTAGGAGCTCTCTGAGAATTGAGCGCTGAGAGTCTTTAGACTAGCTGGCCTAGGGGTTTAGGGTTTAGTCTCCTGCCTTGCGCTTCGGATTGTGGGTTTTATTGAGTCGTAGCGCAGCGGAGTGGGTCTAGAATTCCAAACCCTAAACCCTAAACCCTAAAGCCTAAAGTCTAAACCCTAAACCCTAAAGCCTAAACCAGGGGGTGCCAGATCTTGGGTCCATGCTCTCTCAGCGCTTGTACCCTGCCCCTAGGATCCGAGGCTTGGCGGCGCCGACTCCCCCTAATGCCACAAAGTCCTCCGGCCCAAGAAGCGCTCCGCAAAGCAGCCTAAAGCCGCCATAGCCTTCATTAAACTGCCGTTTTGTACCACTAATCCTCTAAAAAAGTCTCCAATGGCCTAAAGTTTGGACCTAAAGTCCATGAAACCCTAAACCCAAAACCCTAAGCCCTAAACCCAAAAAACCCAATAAAGACTTTTCCCCTCGAGAGCTCTGCAGGCCCTGGACCTGAGGAAGTACGGCAAGCCGACCGGCCACACAGCGCACCACAGCACTATGAACCAGGACTAGGGCTTTGGGGTTTTCAGGCCTTTTTGGGGGGTTTAGGGGTTGTAGGGTTTGGGGTTTGGGGTTTAGGTTTTAGGGGTTTAGGGTTTAGGGTTTAGGGTTACAGGACTAGGGTTTGGGGTTTAGGGTGTCTCGCCGCGCAGCGGCAGTAAGTACCATGTGGAAATGGCGCCCCGAGACACCCACAAGTTGTGGGGGGGGGGGGCGGCATATCACGCGAAGGCATCTGTTTGCAATGCAGTCCAACAATTTTCATTGGTGCTATTTTTCTTTTCCCTCCCGCTGTGAGCTTTTACACCTTTTAGAGACCTGGCAAGGTGCCTTTTGTCGCGGTTTTTGGGTCTGGACGCGTGGGCTGGCTTTTTTGCATTTTTGGCTCTGGAAAGGGTACCCCCGCCATGGCAGACACCAGAATTCAGCATTTTCGGGCTCCAAGAGGGTGGTTGGAGGGGCGCTGAGCAGAATCACAACGTGCCTTTTTTGTCACGTCTTTTGGTCTGGAAGGGGTACCCTTGCCATAACACACCAGAATTCAGCATTTTCGGGCAGGGGTCCAGG